GGGTTCATACCCGGCCAGGCACCCGGGCGTGTATCGGGGCACAAGTGGTTTGCCCGGGCACCCGGGCAAACAGTCTAGATCTGTGAGCCATTTACTCTTGGAGCCAACCCTGCCCCCCCTCCCCCTTCCTTCCCCCTCCTTTGTCTAATCAATTGATACCTACCTCCCTCCCCTATATGTGCCCCCGCCCCCTCCCTCTTCTGAGACCTCCCTGTTATGCTGCTGCAGAGGTGGGTTATTGTCCCAGGTATGTGCTAGAGTTGTTCCTAAGTTGTGGACACCTTTAGTTGTTATGAAGCAGATAACTTCGAATTCGAATCTTGTTGTAGCCACTTAGTACTTAGTAGAGATCTTAAAATGCGTCACATACATGATCTAACACCCACAATTAACCATGTGGAAGAATGGTACACTCTTACACACCTGTAATTTTAAGTAAACAGATTATTAATTTATTACTATTTATTAGTTCGAAATTAGAATCATGCTGTGCCCACTAGGTACATAATTCTGTGTGTACGTAATTATTAATTATTAATGATGTGTCTGATAAAAGTACTAACCCACACATAATGCCAAGTGGGTGAATAGTAGCACATAAAAATTATGGGTTTGAACTTCGTACGAAAACTTTGAAGTTTGATACAGAATGTCCACTGCTATAGATGCTATAGGATGCTATAGGATGCTATCGGATGCTATCGGATGCTATATAGGATGCTATTGGATGCTAACATATGTTAGCTATATATGGGTCGACTGCTATAGATGCTATAGGATGCTCTAGATGCTCTAGATGCTCTAGATGCTCTAGATGCTATAGGATGCTATAGGATGCTAGATGCTATAGATGCTAACATGTGTTAGCTATATGTGGGTCTAAAGACTCTACACCCAACACCCAGTCATGTGCCTGCTCCTGGGGCATGGTCCCACTAGCAACCGGATAGGATAGAAAAGAGTTTGTGTGGCAGTTGAGTGACCCACATCGTGCCGTGCAGTACTCGTGATCCCACGGTCAGTATTTTACATGTTTACCCAAAAAAGTAAGCAGGTCTTGGTTCCCCTCCTCCTCTCCTTAACACTGGGCATGCCCGTGAAAAGGAAGCTTCCTGCCAAAATCTTTTCAATCCGTTGGGGGCATGGCCAACCCCAAAAGAGAGTGGGGTCAGCCATAGGCCCACTGGATAGAAGATTTTCAGTATTTTGCTTGCTGTTGTGCAATTATCTCATTGGGTGGAGCCGTCCTTCAATCAAGGAGTATATGGAGGGTGTCAGGATCACTGCTGACAGAAGTCTATTTTATTCCAAAAAATGTGGTGGTTGCTTTGTTCACTGTTTTTGCAACTACCACCATCAGATCATTTGTGATCTGATGGTTGGGAAGCACTCTGCCGTGATTTCCGGTGGGAGGTCTCTGTTTCTTTTTTTTTTTTGGCCTTTTTCCTGTTTTCTCAGCCCAGAAATTCGTAATGAACGTGTCTGGCCGCTGCTACTCAGTGTCACACTGGATCGGCCACATTCCTATCCGACTGCTAATGGGACCACACCCCTGTAGTTCCAAGTAAATACTCGGCCTACCATAAGGGCACAGGTGCCTCTCCCATAGAAAAGCAAAACAAGTTTTTTTTTTTTTTTTTTTAAATTTTTAAACACCCCCACTGGTGATGGTGGTGCTGATAAGAGCAGACACCTCTACCACCCTGGGAGAGGCTCCATCTATTGGTGGGGAGCATCACCGGCTGGAAAACGGGTCCAGCGTCCCAAGGACAAATTGTCAACAGTGTATCTC